AACAAAGCCTGTAGTGGAATGGTGAATAAAATATGTAAATACCTAGGTAATAGTAAAAAACAGTTGGCTCACACCTATAATCCTAGCAGCACTCTGGGAGGCCAAGGAGGGAAGATCCCTGAGCTCAGGAGTTCAAGACCAGCTTGAGTAGGCGTAAGATCCCAACAACTACAAGAGGAACTTTACCTAATAAATGCAAATATTGTAACCTAATAATTTGTGCCCTCAGATTAATCTGAAATTTAAAAATTAAGTGACATTCCCTCTCTACTAAAAGTAGAAAAAATTATCTGGGCTTTGTGGTGGGTACCTGCAGTCCCAGCTACTCAGGAGGTTGGCAGGATGATCACTAGAGCATAGGAGTCTTGAGTATAAGTAGCTGTGGTGAGCTAGGCTGATGTCCTCGCTCTCTAGCCTTGGGCAAAAGAGTGAGACTGTATTTAAAAATTTAAAAAAAAAAAAAGGCAGTTCCAGGAAAATGTCTAAAATTTGAAAGCTCCTACATTTAAAAATAGTTACGTTAACGGTAAAGACACTAATATAAAACAACTCCATCAAAGATGAGGATAGGGAGGCATTATTTTAAGAATATTAAGGAGATTATAGATACATTTACATCAGAATAATAACAGGGAGTAGATTATAAACTTTAAATCATACCTGAAAGTTTTAAGTTAACTGAAGAACATGTGAAAACAAATTAAAAATACTTGAGCCTCATAAGGATATATACTACTACAGAATCTTACAGTATTTATAAAAATGGGAGTTTCTTCCTCTAATGTATTTCCTCATTTAAATGTTTATAAAAGTAGACTTTTCATAACTACATTAAAAAGCTGGTTTTAATTATATGAACAGATTATACAATACAATTTTTTAAATGAAGAGTTTGAGAGAATTTGGTTTGTGGAAAAATTTTATTCACAAGATAGTAAGTAATTGAAAGAATTTTAGTTATTTACTTATTTTTGAGACAGAGTTTTTCTCTGTTGCCCAGATGGGAGTGCAGTGGCACAATCATAGCTCACTGCAACCTCAAACTCCTGGGCTCAAGTGATCTTCCTGCCTCAGCCTCCCCAGTGGGATTACAGGAATATGCCACCACACCCAGCTAATACTTTTAACTTTTGTAGAGGTATGTGTGTGCGTGTGCATGCGCACACATGTGCCTCCCTATTTTGCCCAAGCTGGTCTCGAATTCCTGGCCTCATGGGATCTCCTCTTGCCTTGGTGTCCCAAACTGCCGGGGTTACAGATACAAACCACTGCACCAGCACTGGGCCAGATGAGTTAATCTGAAGAGATTTGAAGTATAAAAATCTTTGACTAAATTAAGTTCTCCCCCTAGTGGAAGTTGCAAATGATCTAAGACAGTGGTTCTCAACCTTCCTAATGCCACAACCCTTTAATACAGTTCCTGTGGGTCGTGACCCACAGGTTGAGAACCGCTGAAGATATTTCCATGACTAAGAATAACTTAAAATATATGAAAAAAGGAGTTTCAGCTATTAACAAAAGATCTGTTTACAGATCTTAATCTGCATTAATTTTTAATATATATATAAACGAAATGTCAAAACACTAAAGACATTTACCAAAACACATTTCCTAAATGAGTAAACTGCAAGTTAGCCAAGGAACACTCAATCCTAAATACTGAGAGAGAGAAGCAGAAATATTTCGAAAGTAGAAGAGTAGAAGGTATGTTAAAACACTGCAGTTTAGGAAGACACAGCAATACAGAGAATGGTACAGGACTCTGAAGAATATCAAGGTTTCAGGAACAGGACAATTCAGAGTGCACCGAGCAGAATTTACGTGTATGGAGGGTGGGGAAGCCATGGTGAAGGGTGAATCTAGAAATTCAAGTTCAGGCAATAATTAAAAAATAAGGATTTTTTGGTAAGAAGTTTTGATGAGACTTGATATGGTATGTAAAAAGCAGTCAGCATAAGTTTTTATGTTTAGAAAGACGGCTCTGTCTCTGTGTAAGAGCTGAGGCTGGAGAAAAGGAAACTGGATGGGAAAGCACTGTAACGGTTCAGGCAAGATGAACACAGGGAGTGCCGGGGAATGGAAATGCTATGAAAGATTCACAAATGGTTTTTAAAATGATTCAAATTACCTTCAACTTAGTTTTAGATTGACTAAAGACTCTTCTCTTTTGAGGGATTGGGTGACATAATTGTTAACCTGTGTGAACCGTTAAGAATTATCTGCAGGCTAATCTATGAGTAAAATGCTGGCAGGAAAGTAAACTAGCACAGGCACTTGGTAAAATAACTTGTTATTTACTAAAAGTTGAAAATTTGCCTACCTTACATAACATCCTCGGTATATATACTACTGGGTAAGAAAGAATAAATAAAATTACTACTACGTTGAATAATTTTATTTATTTTTATTTTTTTGAGGCAGAGTCTCAAGCTGTCACCCTGAGTTGGAGTGCTGTGGCGTCAGAGCTCACGGCAACCTCCAACTCTTGGGCTCAAATAATTCTCTTGCCTCAGTTTTTTGCAAATATCTATACCCATTCTATATTGTCTCTTTTGTTGTTTTTTCCTTATTGTGATTTTAGCTTGTTTAAAATCAAATATGTTCCAAAATGTCTTCTTATTTTTTTGCTCAGGCTGGTCCTGAACTCGTGAGCTCAAGCAATCCACCGGTCAGCCTTCCAGAATGCTAGGACTATGAGCATGAGCCACTGTGCCCAGCCTAGGTTGAATAATTTTGAAAGAGATGATCCATTCACCAAGAAGGAAGACATTTTGGAACATATTTGATTTTAAATAAGCTAAATTTCAAATTTAGTGCCTGTATAACTTCAGACGGAACTGTTCAGTGCTCAGTAAAATTATTGGTCTACTCATTAAAAAACACAATAAAGAAAAAATAAAAAAGAACTAATATAGATTGGGAGTAGATATTTGCAAAACATAACATCAATATACAAAGAGCTACACATTCATAAGAAAAAGAGACAACCCAGTAGAAGAAATATATAAACAAAAGACTTTAACAAGCACTTTACAAAAAAAAAGAAATCCAAATGGCCAAGCTTCTTAGTAATCAAGTAAATGTAAATTAAAATCATGCTAAAACATCACTACACACCCAGCAGATTGGCAAAAATTAAAATATGTGACACTACCAAAGTGTTAGGAAAGACGTGTAACAAAAATTTTCACATGCTGCTGCTGGGAATTTAAATTACTACAAACAATTTGGAAAATAAAGTTGAAGATTTGCATGCCCTATAACCCAGCCACTCCATACCTTAGTGTATATGCTAGAGAAATCTGTGCACATACGATCGATGTAGGGCACGAGATTGTTCATAATCACAGCACTGTTCATAACAGTCTTAACCTGGAAATTCCCAAACATTCACTAACAGTAGAATATATTGTGATATATATTCAACAAATGAAATATATACAATAATAAAAACAATGCCTTACTAAAGTAATGTTGAACAAAGAAAGAAGAGACAAAATATTCAACATGACACTGGAAACTGAGAAACTGGGAACACTAAACTGTATGGATCAGAGATGCACACTAAGACGATATAACTAACTACAAGGAAAAGCAAGAAACTGATTATCATAAAAGTCAGGATAAGGGAACAGGGTATGAGTGGGTAGAATTCTCAAGTACTGACGATATTCTCTACCTTGACCTTGGTAGCAGTTTCACGTACTACATTTTTACACTTGTAATATATACTTTTGTTTCACAAACTTCTTTGTATATTGAGCTTCATAATTGTTTTATAAAGATTTTAAAATTACTGGGAAGGGCAAACAGGCTAGGACTGGAGAAAGATTAAGATTCATCATTGTAAAGATGGCACTTGAAGGCCAGGTACACTGGCTCATGCCTGTAATCTTAGTATCCTGGGAGGCTGAAGTGAGAGGATTGCTTGAACCCAGGAGTTCGAGACCAGACTGAGCAAGAGTAAGACCCTGTCTCTACTAAAAATAGAAAAATCAATTAGGTGTGATGTCAGGGGCTTGTAGCCCCAGTACCTGGGAGGCTAAAGCAGGAGGATCACTTGAACCTGGGTTACTGTGAGCTAAGCTGACACCAGAGTGGTCTAGCCTGAGGCAACAGAGTGAGACTGTCTCAAAAACAAAACTAGCCCAGCCCTACACAGGATCAGGATCATCAATATCACTGTTTTCTACCTCTATATCCTGTCCCACTGCACGGTCTTCAAGGATATTAGCACACACAGAGCTGTCATCTCCTATCAGAATGAAGCTTTCTTCTAAAGTACCTCTTTAAGAACCTGCCTGGGCTGTCATATAGTTAACCTTATTTTTATAAGGAGTATACTATATAACAGTGATAAATAGTATAGCAAAAAAGTATATTAAATATAAAAAAATAGTAATACAGTTTATTATCAAATATTATGTACTGTACATAACTGTATGTGCTCTACTTTTCTAAAAAAGAAAAGTGCAGTAGGTTTGTCTACACAAACGTCATGACAAACACACGAGCAATGAGGTGCAGTACAAGTTAAGATGGCTATGATGTCACCAAGTGATAGGAATTTTTCAGCTCCATTATGATCTAAGGGACCATTAATGCGTATACTGTCTGTCACTGAAATGTTGTGTGGCACATGACTACATTCTATGATTCCACTCATATGAGGTAACTAGAGTGGTCAAGCTCATAGAGACAAACTAGAATGGTAGCTGCCGGGAGCTGTGGGCATAGGGAATGGGAAGTTAGTGTTTAATGGGCACAGAGCTTCAGTGAGGGAAGATAAAAACATTCTGGAGATGGACGGTGGTGGCAGATGCACCATCATGTCAATGTACCTAATGATAAATTTCACAATGACTAAAAAAATGGAGTTGAAATGAATGAGTATTAAAAATAGCATTGCAGTCATGAGAAAGAAGGTATGTCAGCCATCATTCAGGTGCAGAGGGAAAAATGAACTCTTCCCTGATGGACTTCGTTATCTGTGTACGTACCTGGATTTCAAGCTCAGCAATGTGCTGCTGCAGTTCAGCCACAGCAGCTATGCTATCTGCTTCCCGCAGTCTCACCGCCATCACTTCTTCCTTGTTCTAGGGTGGCAAACGAAACAAGGCAATAAACCAGGTGTGTTTGGAATTCGGGTTTTTCAGATCTTAGTAAACTAACAAAGTGCATAAACTTACACAGAATTATCTAGCCAGGTCTAAGGCAGCATCTATAACAAAACCTTGCATGCTCAATGCACATGTTAAAGCAGTGAAATGTAAATATCATTCTAAGAGGGACGAATAAAAATTATTAATGGCCATATATCAATTCCAATCATCTTTGCCTACAAATCAATCTATGTGAAAATTTATGAAAAAACACCTGGGTTCTACGTGTTTTGCACTTTGAGGTTCACAGACTTGTACTATTTCATCTTTAAAGTGAGAACATTCAACTTCAGTTGTAGAGGGAAAATAATGTAAACATTAGAAATAATCTCATGACGTTTTACATAAAAAATGACCTTTAATAAGTAACAATTAATAAGCTATAATCATATAAAACTAAATGAAAATGAATTAAATTTATATTATTCAAAGACTGGCTTCCTCGAAAAAGTTAGGTTTGTTCCTAAACCATTACAACATAACAAGGTAATATACATTTAATCAGAATGTACTAGGTGGTAAGGTGGCAATACAGTGATCATTCTCAAAATCTGCAAAAGGAATTATGAAAGACTGAATAAATCAACACACAATGTAAACACAGGGCAATCAGACTCAGCATCTGTAACATACTCCATAGATGTATTAATGAGCAATTAAAATTAAATGAAATCCCATGTCAATTTTTTAATTTTTTTTTTTTTTTTGAGACAGAGTTTTACTTTGTCGCTCTCAGTGGAGTGCCATGGCATCACATCTCACAGCAACCTCAAACTCTTGGGTTCAAGCAATTCTCTTGCCTCAGCCTCCCAAATAGGTGGGACTCTAGGCGCCTACCACAAGGCCAGGCTATTTTTAGAGACGAGGTCCCACTCTGGGTCAGGCTGGTCTTAAGCCTGTGAGCTCAAGCAATCTACTTGCCTTGGCCTTCCAGGGTGCTAGGATTACAGGCAAAAGCCATCGCACCCAGCACGTCAGTTCTTAAAATCCTCTAATACTCTGAATCTGAGCCCATTACTTAGATAAATTCAAAACAATTATTTTCAACAGCAAGATCCCCAAACATTTATTTCCAAAGAACATTTTACTTTGGTTAATACGTGCTAAGCCATTTGCGGAGTAATATTAAACCCAATAGCACTGTTACCAAAATATAGGAAAATTAATACCAACAATAAAAATGATTAAATTTAGTTCTTAAAATCAACACAGACAATTTAACATCTTAAACCTAAATTATATATTAATATGACAAATCCTATTGATGCTATAACCTCAATTTAATGTCCTTTTATTTTTAAATTAGCCTACTCATATCCTTCAAAAGGGACAATGCTTAAGTTAGTACAAATTTCAGTACTGCCTACAGATTTCTGTCAGTGTAAATTGTAACAGTCATGTATATTTATTAGGATGTAATTTCATCTCTGGATTTCAGTGACACTGATAAACCACTCAAGCTTCACTCTTGGTTTTTAATGACACCAGAGCAAGTTGATGGAATTACAGCTTTATATGTGCCATTGAAAGTCTTATTTCTCATAGAATAATAAGGCTGGAATCTTTAAAGGGCATCATTCCTACTATTTCACTAGGGAAAGGTAGATGTCTAGTTCATCTTTAAAACTCCATAATTTGCCTTTAATAATCCACTTTAATGCTTAGACCTTTCTCCCTACTGCTACACCATAAATTTATCTCCAGTAAAAATGCACTGGCATTCAAATACTTGCGATGCTTTTTTTTTAACTTCCTAGAATTAGGAAAAACTTCTGATGCTATTTGAATGCAAACACTTCACACACACACAAAATAAAAAACTGATTAAAATTCTAACAGGTACGTATCCATTTTCCCCAACTCACAGGTATACACACATTTCTTTTGCTCTCTATCCTATCTAGAACACACACATCACTAATAAGACACCAATCAAAGCACAGGAACCCTGACCTCTTTAAATTATTTGTCTTTTGATTGAGCCATTAAATGTTTCAGTTTTAAAGGGCTACAATCAAAAGAAAAATTGTAAAGAAACAAACCAGTACATGCCAGTGCAGGAAATTAAGTTAACCAAGGAAGTAGATGAAAATGCGGTTTCTTGCTTGAAATCCACCCCAGAAGCAAGATGAGCTAACCTGGTCTGAAAGCAACCACCAAAGCAAGTTCAGGAAAGTAGGAAAAGATCAACTCCCCCTCCCCCTTTTTGGTCTGTTTAAGATGACCTTGTCATGATGAGTCAAGGCCACACCTAAACCTTATTATACTGATAGACACATAAGCCAGCTGATTGACATATTTACCTTACATTCGATCTCTGCTTGTTTGCGCTTTGCTTCACTCAATTGTGTAAGTAGTCCTTTGTTCTGTGCAGAAAGATACTGTACCTTCTCCTGTAGGCTGATCACTTCTTGTTCTGCTCTTCGAAGATGGTTACTATTGATTTGGTTCTAATAATCAGAAACATTTAACATACTCAGACTACAGATAAAAAAACCTAAAAATTTTTATAAATATTTGCCTATCCATGTTATACCTCAACATCATAAAAAATGTTATTCACTATAGGTCGTTTTATTCAGCAAATAAACACAGAAAATATAATAAGACATATTCTCATTATAGCTCAATTCTCATATACCGTTTACATAAAAAATATACGGAAACCATAAGAATGTTTACATACAACTTGAAGGTATTCCTTTGTAAAATAGGGAACAGGGGTATAAAGTGAGTTGATGCAGGAATGAATTTAACTCCTTTTTCCAGTTCCCAAAAGAAAGCATAAACCAATCAAAAGGTGCTATCACCATTTGCTGGACGTAAACTCTTTAGTGTCAAAAATTGTGACATGTGTACTTCTGCATGTTCCCTACTGTCCAGCTAGCACTGTCTCTTTTTATGGAATGCAAATTCACTTTGAATTCTGGCTTTGCTATTTGGCCATGAAGCAAACAACTTTATGCCCCTTGAGTCTCCATTTCCCCATTTGAAAAATGTACATAAAATAGTTTCTATTTCTCATTTCACTGGCTTCAGAACTAAATGAGATAATATGTGTAAAAAGGCCTAATATATAGTAAGAACTCAGTCAATGCAGGCTGCTTGCCATAGTATAATTATACGACATGTTAAAAATACAGATCTCGAACTGACTAACATGAGGTAGTTTTCACGTGAAGGCTTAAGAAAGCCTAAATTCTCTCAATCTCAAATTATTCTATCAGTGGCCTAAAAGAAACAGCACAGACTTTCAAAATCAAAACAGGTAAAATCTAACTCTTCATTTATCAGTTCCTAAACTTCAGCCAAGTTATTTAATCCCACCAAATTTTAGCACACCAGTAAAAGTACAGATACTACGGTTTTCCTTTCAAGTCTATTGTGAAGATTATGAGAAAAGTTAATGAAAGGAGTCTCACATGAGGCATGAAAGTCTACAGATACTTAGTAAATGCTCAGTTGTTACCATTATTATATCTACTCTATGAAAATGAACCTGTCTTCAGTTTTAATGAAAAAAATCTGGATCACCTAATAGATTTAAGTTCCAAAAATTTCTACCACTTCCAACTATATTACTCTGTTCTTTCTCATTTTCAGTCTACAGATAATGTCTACAACATTTTTCTTGGTACAGTATTCAAATGTTCTGCAACCATTTGTTACTGTCTTGCCTGCTACCATCGAAACAAATAACTACACTTCAGAGGGACATACCTTTAACACAAGCTGCAAAGAATTTTTATGGATAAAAACCCCTCTCTGTGCTCCTGAACACAAGATCATGATTCAAAATTACACAATACACATAAAACCCAAGAACTAACTATGAGTGAGAGACAACATAAATGATAGAAAGCATATATGTTTAAGAAGTCCAAATGATAGAAGTCCTTTAGCAGGGTATGTTTAAAATTACAGCATTAAAAACACAAAAAGCTAGCCAGGCGTTGTGGCAGGCACCTGTAGTCCCAGCTACTTGGGAGGCTGAGGCAAGAGAATAGCCTAAGCCCAAGAGCTGGAGGTTGCTATGAGTTGTGACGCCATGGCACTTTACCGAGGGTGACAAAGTAAAACTCTGTCTCTAAAAAC